TATGTCTCCGAAATTATTTCTCTGAAACGGCTTTCTGTCGGATTCTTTGAACGACAATATTCTAGGCTTTTTCATTTCGTTGTAATAAAAACTAAGGTTTTAGCGTTGCTATATGAAACTTACTTTATTTTATAGGTCTTGCCCGATTCTAGTAAATTTAGGTTCGTAAAATTTTTAGAACATTTTCATAACACCTCGTTAGTGATATTTCGACGATAAATAAAAATTTTACTTCTTGGCATGTGTAATATTAAAATATTAAGACAAAACCATTGTTCTACACTTAATTCTTTATTTTTGAGTATGTATAGATTTTTTTTAAGGGGGGAAAATCATCTAATGAATGCTCCCGCCTGGGTGAGGCGGAAGGGAGTGTCAGACTCTTACTAACTAAAAACCACCCCGTTGCTTCTCCTGCACGTCGAGCCGGAGCCCCGGTTACCCGTTAGGTTCTCCGCGACTCCGAATCGGCATCGGCCCTATTGAGCCCCATCTGTGGTGGTCTGATGGCTCTTTGAGGCACGCGCGGAACGCGGCGCGCCGTACGCTCGGGTCTGTTTCTGGTCGGACGGGGAGCCACCCATGCTCGCCGTCCGCAGGCCCGCGCTTACGGTGGCCGGAGATCGTCCCGCGATCCCAGACGCTCGGTGTGTCCTTCGCGATGGCTGGGTTGCGAGGAGGCAGCGCTTCGCTGCCTCACGCGTCCCGCCTCCTCCTTAGCTAGCATGACTGCTTCGCAAAAGGGGGAGACGGCATCCCAGTCCCCCTCGCTCCGCATCATGGCCTGCACTAGGCCCGGACGCGAGAGGTCGCCATCGCCGATCACTTCCCTGAGGGCACGGCGGTGCTCAGCCCACGCAGGGCATTCCACTACGGTGTGTTCCACCGTGTCCTCAGAGCGGTGAGTACGTATAGATAGGGGCTATGAAATAAATAACGATTCTGCACAAAAGTGTACTGTCTACCTACCTATAGTAGTATAAGTATAACATTATGTGTGGGGCCATGCATCGGCACGAATCGGCTGGCTCGACCGGAGTGATACGACCTCACAGAAAACCGACGTGAAACAACACTTACGTTGCGTTTCGTCGTACGAGTGAGGCCCAATTATCCCTCTCCCCAATCTCTCCAAATTCCTAATCCCCAATAATCATCAAATTCCTAATCCCCAAAAGGCCGGTAACGCACTTGTAACACCTCTGGTGGGCGGCGCCGCCGATTGCTTACCATCAGGTGATCAGTTTGCCTCGTTTGCAGGCTAATACCATAAAAAAAACATTGTAGGTACTATAGGTTTCTAGAACAGATTCTACTCCACCTCAACATAAACTCAAAATCAATTTCCAATTACGCTTCCCAGTGAAATAGCAACGAAGCTTATCGCAATTGTACAACAAACTACTATTCCTTGTTTTAATGAAGTGAATTTACTCGGAATTTACTCGTTTTCCTAACAACCATTGTGTATCTTCTACACTGATATCATAAAGAAGAACGATTTGATAGTTCGTTTGTTTGTATCGAATATACATCGATTCTACTGAACCGATCAGAAAAATTCTTGCACCATTGAAAAGCTTAATTTCCAGAGAGAAACATAGGCTACTTTTTATAGCGATATTTTTGCAAGATTAGGACTTTATGATAGAAAATATTTTAAAGTTTACATGAGTAAAGCCGTTGACGGCAACTAGTTACAAATAAAAAGGCAAGCAGGCCGGCCATGTTTTTTTTTTTTGCTGCATTAACTGCAGTTGCGGGTTCGTCAAATTATTTTGCAGATAAAACTTTGCATTGTGAATTCATTTCAATTTTGTATGAGAATAAAAGAAACACGTCCGCTTTTGTTTTGTTGGATAATCATGCCGATTCTTTTTTCTTTTGTTTTGTGTTTAGAAATTGTTTACTGTATAATATTAGTACAATTGTTTTGAATGTTTGAGTTTGTTTCCAAATTGTTATTATTGGTCAATTTGATTTAGGTGGTAGTCTCTTCTTGCATCGCGGAGAACCTAAAGGGTTACCGGGGCTCCGGCTCGACGTGCAGGAAAAGGAACGGGGTGGTTTTTCAGTAATTCGATGATTTTCCCCCCTTAAAAAAAGTCTCTTCTTGCGTCACTAATTACCGATTCCAAGATATGATATTTATTTAGTAATCCTGCCGATTTAAAATTAGAAGATGACTGTATTAATTTAAATAGATAAGTAAAAAAATATATTTAAAATACTTAAATAACAAGTACCATAGCCGATTTCATTCCGTATACAATCCAGTCACTTCCTATACAATGGTTGTATTGTATATCGTACCTGACTTGGTAGTTCAATATGAAGTTGTAGTGAAGACGCAGAGCATGTAAGATGTAATCAGAGCTCAGTTTGAGTACTGATATCAGAACCTCTCGCTGCACCGGTTAATTGTTGGCGTTTGGTACCCGGGATGAAGTATAAGCGGGAATGAGTTAATGTAGATGATGAGGTCACTCGTAATATTTGTTCATGTTTTCGTCTATGCAGGAACGTATTTCATTCAGACATTGATTTGGTTGATTAGTGTCTAAATTAAACGCAAAGAACGTTAGCTTTCGGGACTACTTTCTGAGGGGGGGGGATCATTCAAAGTTCGGGTGAGTCGAGAGGGAGTGTCAAAATCTTACTAACTAAAAACCAACCCGTACTACCTACCCTATATACTCCTGCACTTCGAGCTGGAGCCCCGGCAACCTGAAGTCCTCCGCAGTTCCGTATCGGCATCAGCCCTATTGGGCCCCATTTATGGTGGTCTAATGGCTCTTTGAGGCGCCTCGTGCTCGCCGTCCACAGGCCCATACTTACGGCAGCCGGAGATCGTCTCGCGATTACATAAGCATGATTTTATTTTTTTATTAAGTGGTTGTACAAGCGATAATACATAACAAGGCTACGTCTGAATTTAATTGTTTGAACTTTCAATTTAATATCTTCAGATGTTCAACTAAACTATTCTATTGCAATAGACACTAATAAAATAAATGACGACAAACATTACGGCATCGAGTATTTTTTTTTTATGGGACAACCCGCCACCTCCTCCCAAAACCGCTGCAACTCCTGTGAGCCAGGATCTACAGTAGATACAACCATGAAAACACCGGTACACTGAAGTCCGGGGCATCCCAGGGACATAAATAACTGTGTTGGTTCCCGCAACGAAGTGAATCAGAAGATATTATAAGCGGAGAAGAAAAAACGAAAAAAAAAACTTCAAGTAATGATAGTTCCTGCTAGCAAAGTTCATTTTTTCACATATTCTTTCAACGACTATACCTTGCACCAAATTCATAACCAAAGACACAGTGAAACCGGGGCACCTTCAATTGTCTTACGGGATCCAGGATCATAGTTTGTATCTGATACACACCTCTGTTTGTGGGATTTATTAGAAGTTACTATGTGTTTGTAGTATGCATATATGTTCTAGTAGTACACTACTTGTTTATCAAGCTGTACAAAACCAGTATAAATTGCCCGTTGATTGTGCGGTAAAATCGTATAAAGCGAGACTATGATATACTGGTTCTGTTTAGCTCGATATGCAGAATTGCATACATTGTGTGGCGACCATGTTTAGTGCTCCTACCAAGGTGCTTTGATGACTATGTAGATTTTATGAAGAGACATAATATTCTTGGTATTATAAGCTTAATATACGTAGGTATAAAGTTTTTATTTGATTTTCAAGTTTATGTGTAGGTTAATTAATGTCATTCTTTGACTTCGCTTGATTATGTAATGATATCTGTTGATCATAAAACCAATCGGAAACGGAGGCAAAATTGACAAATAAATTATATTTGCCAAATCATCATCGCATTCATCACAATCTCAAAATTCGACGTTGAATTAAGAATTAGAGTAATAAATAGGTCAATATACGTATCCTCAATCCGTAGGATCTTCAAAAACTACTGTCTATCTAGAATCTTGTGTTCAAAGCCCAAACAATATCGACCTTGATGAACCTTCGTGCTCGAGAATAATTGTAACGTTTTTATAATAACTATCGTGAGACATACTAAATTAACTAAAAATCGCGGGTTACTCATGTGAGAATACTGAAAAAAGCTCTACTGGTTTCGAACCACAGAGGGGTTCTTCCTCATAAGCAGCATGCAGTTTTACTAAATAATGTAAAACGAAGATAATATGAAAAATATTATATATCAACTTAACACTCAATAGTACCTATATATCAAAATACATAATATCACCTTAAATCACGAATACTTCCAAAGAAATAAATGTCCCATCACTCTTTTAAAATACGTCCAATTTTCTCGATACTGCGTATAAGCACGCATGACCATTGCTGTAAACAGACCATTCTGAACGTTACAGCTAACATATTACGGTGTAATTTCAAGTGTGTTCAAAAGGAAATTAGATAAAAAATTGAAGTGTGCTAAGCGCAAATCGCGCCCAGCGGGAATTTGAGGGGAGTTATCAATCTTAGTTGGATGATACTTCGAGTGTGTGAAAACTGGATATGAAATGAGTTGACAGATTTTTTTTTGTGACTTGACTGAATTATTCATTTGATTTAAATAACTTTTTAATTTACCTATGTTAGTGTATCGATTGGAATTTTATCAGTTATCGATGATGGTATAATAGGACGTAATATGGGATCATAAATTGTGCTTAAAAAACCTTTATCGCTATCCAAGACCCTGTACCATTTCAGAATAATTTTTGATAAACTTAATAATGTTTTAAAAAGGTGTGGGAGAGCTATGCTTCGGCACGAATGGGCCGGCTCGACCGGAGTAATACCACGGCCTCATAGAAAACCGACGTGAAGCAACGCTTGCGTTGTGTTTCGTCGTGTGAGTGAGGTTACCGGCTGCCCAATTACCCTCCCTTTCCCTAATCTTCCCAATCCCTGAATCCCCAACGATCCTCAAACTCCTAATCCCCAAAAGGCCGGTAACGCACTTGTAACGCCTCTGGTGTACCGGATGCCCATAGGCGACGCCGATTGCTTACCGTCAGGTGATCCGTCTGCTCGTTTACCGGCTTATGCCATAAAAAAAACCTTCCTCGTCCCAGGACTTGAGCATAAATCCCCTTGTTGCAGCCACTCGACCAACCGGTCTCAAAATTCAACTTATACCTCTAGACTACATTCAACACAATCACTACCATCAACCACTAATTAAAATCCAAGACCAAGACACTGAAACTCAACTCCAAAACGAACACAATAAACACATTAACAACGAAGAACAATAAATTGCAACTAATCTAAAATGAGGCGTCAATTTATCTCTCAAGCCGTATCCAGATCTTGTAATCCGAGAGGGGACCCGCTTCACCGTTTATTTATGTTTGGTCAACGGTTTTTGGAAAATGAAATAGATAAGGGGGTCCCTCTTTAGTCGTTATCTGTTGCGTTCGAAACCCAAGTTCTGGACCCTTTAGAGTTTAGAGAAATGCGTTTTAACTTTTAGTCAAATTATTTACGTTTGCGTAACTGTATGGGTAGTTTTGAATGAGGTTTTTGGTTTATTAGTTCAAATTGCTTTTTGGGAAGTGGGGCGGGTACTTCGCTTGTCAGCAGGGGTACAGTATTACTTGTTAAAACCATGTAGTTAGTTTACATACATACACATCAACAGCCTAAAGTGGCCACTGCTGAGCAAAGCCTCTTGAGCACTAATCATCACGCTTGCGATTTCAAACTTATAGTTAAACATTATAAGCCCAGGTTTCCTCACGATGTTTTCCTTCACCGTTTGTCAATGGTGTCTTAATAATCTTAGAACCATGTACTTTAACCGTGAACTGAATTTTAATAATATTCTAATAAATATAAACGAACTAAGATAGCTAGCAAAGATTTATAAAATATTTACTAGGTATCTAATATTACAGAGAATTGTGTACGTTCTTATCAAGATCATGTCAATAGATAACAAAAGTCTTCATGCCTTTAAAGACGCTTATAATTTTCTTTAGAAAGGAGACTCTCACTAGTAAGCACATTTCAAAGTACTTACTGATACCATCCATACTGATTACTAAAGATAAACTAAACCAAACCATGATTACGGAACCGCGGTAACAAAAGACAACATCCTCTACCCACATAGAAATCGATCACACGTTATCTTGATCGCAAATCTCGGATCCAATAAGACCTCTTTTTTCCAGGACTCGGCATTTATCTTCCGAAATAGGATCAATTCAGAACTCCGTTGAGTACTTTATGTGTATAGATAGCTATTAGACACCATTGTTGAGTTATTTTATGGCAAATTTTGGATATATTTCCGAGATTTATGTGAATCGTAAATGGATTTTCCTTCAGCTCTTCATTCACATAAGGGGAGGCATTTAAGTGGGTATTTGTGTCGATTGGCAAATTATTTATTTTTTGGGTCGGGTGACCCACATTCCAACTTCTACCCAGAAGTTGTTCATCATCATCATCAACAGCCTATAAATGCCCACTGCTGAGCAAAGCCTCTTCTCACACGGAGAAGGTTAGAGCATTAATCACCACGCTTGCTCAATGCGGGTTGGCGATTTCAAACTTATAATTAGAAATTATAAGTCCAGGTTTCCTCACGATGTTTTTCCTTCACCGTTTGTCAGTGGTGTCTAAATAATCTTAGAAAGTACATATAACTCGGAAAAAGTCACATTGGTACTTGCCGTTGGTAGGTTTCGAACCCGCACCCTCATGCATGAGAAGTGGGCGTCTTAAACCTCCGGGCCACCACGACCTCCCAGCCACGACCAACCCAGAAGTTGTAGTTTTGATTAAATATTTAATTGTATTCGAGTCTGTTTACAGATTCTCAAGTGGTAAATCCGTCACGAACCCCTAGAAAAGACGAAGGGGACTGTCAGTTTTACTGACACCTGATACTGATAAGTGCGAGAGGGCGAAAAATGCATTTTGCTGTAACCTTACACTCCTTTCCGGTTCCTAAAGAATCTAAGTTGCACGTACTATCACTTTTAATTGAAAAAATATTCACAATACGCATAATAAGTTTTTCAAGGGTCGGCACGGTGCATGTGATGCCCCAAGTGTTGCAAGCGTACATAGACCACGGTAGCCGCTTACCATCAGGTGGGCCGTGCGATTTTTGCCACTGTCATGGTATAAAAAATAGAAGAAACATAACATAACAGTAGCACGGTAGCAATCCCTATTAAAATTAAAACCATAAGGCACTACACCACTCAATATTCACACCCTACCTAATTATCCCCGTTAAATTCTTGCTATCTCACACAACCGCCTTAATACCAACATAACAATAAAACACAGAAACCGGAAGCAACATACGTCAAACCTCATGCCGGAAGTGACGGGAAATATTATAAATTCAAGCGAACCGGTTCGTAGCGGTTAAATCACATAGAAACATTGTGGGGCGTGCTTTAAATAAAATGCATTGCATCATGCTGATATAGCACGACTTCTGAATGTGGTTTATGTTGTGGGTTTCCAAGATTTTCTTATTTATTTTTGAGGGCAAATATTTAAAAGCTATTTTACGTACTTTTTGACAAAAATTAGGCCGATTCAGTACCTGTATCGCGCCTTTTATGTGCAAAATAGACAGGGATTAATTTTTTATGAAGGTATAAAATGGTCGAAAGTAATTTTACGTTCCCTCATCAAACAATCTGACTGAATTGAGTATACTTTAGTAATATAATTGCCTGTAAGTTAAGTTTTGATCACGATCAGCTGATGCTATAAATCTTTTACTCCCGTTTAAGTGACGTTTGATATAAAGCGACGCAGACATTGGGTTATAAATATAAAACACTATTTTATGTCATGTTAAACCACACACTTTTATTAATACCACAACCATATACGCCACGACCACTTTATACAAAAGTAGGAAACTAAAAATAGTGAAAAATAAAGCTAAAAACTCTGAAAGGATGTTGCGACAACACAAGCAAACCAAACCGCGACATTTATGCTCAGAATTTTCCTAAATATATGAAAACTAACGTTGATTCAATGTTCTGCACTCGACGTAAATGTAAAAGCGGGTTAAATCACTCGGAAACCAACACTGCGTCTGCGACTGAGAAAATATGTCCCACAGTTTTCCCGCCATTAAAAAAAAGATGGCGGCTTCTTAAAAAAATACGTTGCTTTCAAAAGACGTTCTTTTCGGCTTTCAAATATCGAAGCCGTTGGTAATGTTTATGAAATATGTTTTTATATTTTTTCTCTTCTTATGTTTTTCTTTGCTTGGATTTTTGGACGCCATTTTACCGTTTTGATATATGATATTGTGCTTTAGGAAAAATATAACTGTCGTTCCGTAGCACTTGAATAAACAGTCAAATAAATGAATGTTTTAGTGGAAGTTGTTTTACATTGCGTCTTGGAATAATCTTTCGCTGTTTTTATTACAAGAGTTAAGATTTCCATTCTCTAATCGGATTGAAATTCTTGAATTGTACTGTCGTACGACTAATACGCTATGTTTGTATAGAACGAAGCATTATAATCATTACTAAGAAAATAATATTATAATATTGTTTGCAAGTCCTAGGAAAGGTGTCGCGGAGAACCTAACGGGTAACCGGGGCACCGGCTCGACGTGCAGGAGAAGGAACGGGGTGGTTTTTAGTCAGTAAGAGTCTGACACTCCCTTCCGCCTCACCCAGGCGGGAGCAGTCATTCGATGATTTTCCCCCCTTAAAAAAAAAAAGTCAGAAAACATAAAACTGTTTTTATAAGATAAATTACGTTAGTATCAAAACTCAACTCAGAACAAACACAAACATTATTTAAACATCCGTTTCCCAGAAATATCTATCTCCCTAAAACGCCATTACAAAATCATAAAAAAAACTCGAAACTACAATTAAAATTTTCTTTTCCACAATTCGTGTACACAGCTCGACAGCCGTGTTAGGTGTTAGTACAATTAAAATAATTCACGGCACCATTTCTATCTGATACCGTAGCCTCAGGAAGTTCTCACTTGCTTCCGAAACCATCCTACTGTTTCAACATTACCGAAATTCTACTATGAGCAAACACATACTAAAATAAACTTTAAACTTGAGCAAATAGAGTTGGCTTTGGTTTGTGGGTTGTTTACCTATTTCATAGTTTAGCTGCAGTGTAAATTAGGGCAAAAATAGCAGTTAGATACGATAAACTGAACACTGAACATTGCTATGTAGATTGAGTTGTTCGAGGCACGCTCGAATATTTGTGCTCATTTTATGCTTGAAGCATTTCAATGAGTACGCCTTCAACGATATTGAATAGAAGTGAAGTTAGTTCTACTACTCGCACGGCTCTGGCTGTTTTTAATTTAAGTGTGTGACAATAACATTGGACGGGAAAAGTTACTATTAAAATATTTTTGAATACATAACATTAAGCTTTTTATCCCCGAAGGGGTAGGGGTGTATATTACAGCACTTTATATCACTGTATAATGTAACACCCACTTTTCATTATTTATGTTCCATGTAATAGGGGGTTTAGCCTATTGCCATACACCGGGAACAATTCCAAACTCCGTGCTACCAGCGAGAAATTTTAAAAAATCCAATTCTTTTTTGCTCGATCCGGAAAACGAACTCAAGACCCCTTGCCCAGCTGTCGCACTTGCAACCACTCGGCCAATAAGGCTGTCATATTTTTTAATGTTTTCACTGATATCTGTAGTCTAAATTTAGGCTATAAAGCATGTCGAAACTAAATAACAATTTAAGTCAATATTGCAGCAGCGTATTACAATTTAGATAAAATTAATATTTTTTATCATTCTCTAAAAAAACACGAAAACAAGATGGGAACAAGAGCCAGTTTTAAAGTGGTAATTAGCTAACCTGCAATATAGCCTTCTTTACGAGTTACCTCCATTTATAGCCTCTCTAGTAGTTCATATCACGCCCTCTCAAGTCCTCTCAAGTCCTCACACATTCCTCCACTCCAAGATTTATTACCTCCGCGTCGACCGTGTCCTGAATTTCAATCTACCCCCAGT